AGGGCTTTTACAGGCATCATCCACCAACTACAATGTTTAAAATAAAATAATACTCAGCAAATACCAGGAAAATATACATTGTTGAAAAAATTATATTTTGTGTATATTTTATTCAAATTTTGTGCTTTATCCATAGGACCTGTTTTGTCCCTATTCTCAAGAATCACTGTAATAATAATTTTCACACTAGTCAGTACATTTTGAAATTCATGCATTTCCTATTTGTAAACCATAAAAACAATCCCTTTTGTGCGACAAATGACGTGTGAAGAGCTTCATATCCAAGAGGAGGATGTTCGGCTCCAGAGGGAAGGACTGGCTGAGGCGAATCTGATGAGGTGCGGAGGGAAACTGCGTTCATGTGCGTGTCTGCTGAAAAATATTAAATGAACAACAATACAAGCGAGGCTGCCATTATTCCAGCCTCCCAGACGATTCTAATCCGCTCAGCTCAACTGCCACTGACCCCCGCCCCTCGACCCCGAAGAAACTCCAACAAAAGACAGAACCAGGCTGGAAATCAGACAGGATTTAAAGCCCGACTGTCTGCCCCCTGCTCCCTGTCTGTCTGTCTGTCTGGGGAAACCCTGAGGCGGGATTCATCATACTCGCTGTTTATGAGTATTATTGTATCCAGAGCAGACAAATGCTGATCTCTAGCCACGTATTTTTTATTTATTTATTTATTTTTTATTACTGAAGCGCAATGTGGAATCCAGAGCACCGATCATGACGCGTTATGGGGGACTTTTCCTGCCAAATCTCGTAGGAAAACCAGTCCCAGGGACGTGTGTGGCTGGAAGTCAAGCCTCAGCTGCTGCAGGTGTGAGGCAGGAACATGTCAGTTGTGCCTCGCAGTGTGTCTGTGGGTCCCGATCATTTCTGGCACGGTGCTTCCAGGATAGAACTATTCTGAGCCAGGGTTTTATTTGGGGTGCAGAGACAGTTGCCCGCAGCAGTCACCCAGCTCGTCTCAGAGCAATCTCCAGAGAAGGGAGCAGAAAAGGAACAAGTTTCATCTCCTTCCCCAACTCACCCACATAATGCACCACACACGTCTGGCCTTTTTTGGGGAAGGTCCTTCCTGTGGAGGAAGCAGAGAGGCGCTCATTTGGAACCGTGCAGAGCAGGCGGTGATTTCTGAGTCCTGGAGCGGAATTAGACAGGAGAGCGGACAGACGGGCTCTCTTACATTCCCTCTCCACCCCTCCTGTGCAGCGGCTCTTACCGTCTCCCGGCGTGAGTGTCTCGATCTCGACTCCCATGTCAGCGGTGTGCGTCTTCCTGCTGCCCAAGGACCCGGTGCGCTCTTAGTGCAGTGGTTCCTTCAGCCTGTTTGGTCGCTCCTCTCTCTCTCTCTCTCTCTCTATCTCTCTCTCTCTCTCTTTCGCTGCAATCAACGTAAGGAGAGCTATAAAGCATCGCTTCCGCTTCGGACTTCAAAATAGTTGAAGTCTGGAGAAGTTTGGCACTTAATTTCACAATTTTAATGAAAAAACACACAAAAAGAAATTAATATGAAGGAAATATTCTTCCTTTATATCCTTGCTTTCATCCTTTTCCTACCTCATTTTAAAGGCGCCCCCCAAAGGCAACAGTGCCAAAGGCAACCCCAAAGAATCATGTTGAGTTTGCACAGTCATCTTTAATCAAAATTGCAAAACCCAGTTTGATTATATATATATATATATATATATATATATATATATATATATATATATATATATATATATATATATATATATATATATATATATATATATATATTTCTTTTTCTCTTTCTGCATGTGTAGAAACAGACTTCTTCTTTTATCTTGTATTCCTTTTAGTCCTTCTTTGTCTCCTCTGCTCTCATTTCCTTCTTTCCCTTTAAAGTTCTTGTCCCACCTCTCTCCCTTTCTTTTCCATTTCCATGTGGATTACACATTAAATAAACCCAAAGCAACTTCTAATAAAGATTTTTAAATGTCACGTGGAGCATTATAGAGAAAGCTGCAATGCTCCACATGTGAAAGTGAAACTGATGGACTTCACCTTGGCACTCAGACAACAATTCTGTGTCACACCACCAGACAGAATATGTTAATAAAAAAATATATAAAAATAATGATGCGATCTCTAAGAAGAAATTAAATACACATTTTGTATGTAAACAGCATTGCTCTGCAGACAGATTGAGATCAATTTCCATACACAAAAAAAGAACAAAAGAAAATCATGTTCAGACAGTTTCTCTCTCCTTGTCTAATTAAAAGTGTTCCCATGGTGTTGTTTATGTATTTAGTGTATTTAGACACCACTCTGGATAAGACATATAATTTTGATGGACCAGCGTCCTGTTGTCTTTTGTTTTAAATGAGAGGAAATGAATTCAGATTGAACTCCAGTGAAAGTGATTTATTCAGATTTTATTGATTTTGTCTTGTCTTTTAGCATCACTAGCTAGTCTGGTCATCTCAGTCTGAAAACCTAAACAGATTGGGAGCCTCACTTCTGCATATTGAAATATATCTTATCAGTGCAACTACAGATCCATGAAATAAAACAGAATAATACTGAAAAAAAATCAGTAACTTAAATCACCAAATAAATAAAAATATTCTAATTTATTCTGAATGTGACAAAACAAGATAATTGACAGAGTAAAGATTACAAATAAAGTCTAAATGTAAACCTCGTTATAAAGAATTGGATAGCTTTCCTGCTTTTATTTTGAAGGTCCATTGGGTGCACCATTTTCCTGTGTTTCTGACTAACCTGACACCTGATGGGCAGCGTAGCAAAGTGAGCAAGGTGGGAGTTTTTCTATTAGTTTCTGTTCTTCTGTGGGCAGAAGTACGTTTTGCTACATGTAAGTCATAATTATTCACAAAGAAAATTCAGAGATAAACAACCATTTTTCTTATAGATCTGATTACTTCAGTCCTTTCATCAGACACATGGGGTGTAGAATTAATACAGAGTAAAGAAAGAATAACTTAGATGTTTCTAATTATACAAAAATAAATAATTAAATAAATAAATAAGGAGATATAAACGCTAATATATAACCATACCTGTCTTCTAATCCTCTAACTTTTACATGAGAAAAACCAAACATCAGGGATGTTTCTTGTTACCATGGAGAAAGTGTCAGACATGTGGACTGTGGGTGTGCAGGGCTTCATGGATGAATGCTGATTTGAAAAAAAAAAAAAAATAAATCAGCATTAATCGGAATGCTTTTTAAAATCTTGTTTGACATAATTACAAAATATAAAATTAAGATCAGACTGCTAAGTCTGGCTTTTTTCATCATGCACCACCTGTCTTTGTCCGGGGAGGAAGCAGCTATTTTCACATATCTTTACATATCTTTAATTAAACAAAAGCTCAACATTAAAAAAAAAAAATGTAATATGATTAAGACAATCTCTTCCTAACCCAACATGCATGATAAAGTCTGGAGACAAAGGTGAAGGTTTAACAATTATTGGAGAGAGTTTTAAATGTGGACAGTTTCTACGTAGCATTTCAGATAAAACAAAAAAAATGAATCAATAATTATTGATACCAATTGACATTGGTATCAGTTCAGCGTTTCTGTCAGCTTGTGAGTCTGATTGTCTGTTGTCAGACTCACAAGCTGACAACAGACAGTCTGAATAATGGTCAACAGTTTAGAAACATTATTGCATCTGAGACAAACGATTTCTTGTTAAAATCACCTTCAAGAGGGAAGCTTAAATTCCCCAAATGGGCCATGGAAGAAATCACTCACAATTTGTTGGGTCATTTGTTTTTTCTTACCTTTTAGTATAAATCTCCCAGCATCCTTTGCTCTGTGCCAATGATCTTCTTGCCCATACCAATGATGATTCTGGACAGAGGCGGAGCAACAACGGAAAATTTAAGCATCTCCTTCTGCAAATGAAGATCAAAGTTAATGAAGAAGAGCAGAGCTGCAGTGGAGACTGACTTCTCTGTGTCTGAGTTTGTTTGTTTTTTTCCTTTCTTCATCACCTGAGTCAACCATCGGTGAGTACAGCTGATGATATTGATTGTGCTCCTTACCACCAGCGTCAACATCCAACTAAAAGATTTCAATGAGCAGCAAACTGGGGAAAATCATCTCATTACTTTCGGAAACACAAATCATCTGCAATCATTTGTCTTGTGTATGTTGTTTCTAAATGAAAATGTTGCAAAGTGTATTTTCTTGTTTACTTCCATTAAGAAAAATGGAACATGATGTGGGGTTCAAAAGTCGGTTTTTTTGAACTCCAGTCAACAAGTACTCTCCACCCAGTTTAAAGTTCACAGAGAGACTCTTGCAGGCAGAATAATCCCAGTTAATGCCTCTGAGGAGATTAAATGTTATCTTTATAATGTGTTAAAACAAAGTCCACAGGAAGATTCTCCAGCTTGGTCTGTGTTTCGTCCAATTTTTGGGTTTCTGCCATGACGGTCTAGTCAAAGTTAGTCCAGGAGAAGTTGAAGCCTATCCAGCATCTGAATTAAAGCTGTAAACTCTGAAGTGTGTTCTCTGGATAAGAAAGCATCCACAGGATCACCTCTGTCATTGTCTCAGTCATTTCTCTGGACCACTTTGAACTAAGATGTTGCAGTTGGACCTCTGGTGGTTTCTGGAGCACCGCTTGGTGAATATTATCCTCCAAAAACAGTGACAACACGGCCCAGACCAGGAAGCATAATTGCAGTTTAGCACCTCTTTCTGCAGTTACTCACCCATCACCCCATTAGGACAGTGCCAAAGTCAAATGGGTTAAAGATTAACCTGAAAGGAGCAAGTTATCAAACTGTCATAAAGATAAGCACGTCTAACAAAATGGAAACAAGTTAAACGCGGTTTATTGAGCATCAGATCTCTCTCTTTGAGGGCTTTTCTAATTTATGACTTGATTTGTGAGTTGCTTTGTTCTCACAGAAACCTGGCTGCAGCACAAAGATTATGTTAGTATGATTGAGTCAACCCCTTCTAATTGTTCATATTCCTCAAAATACAACATGAGGAGGGGGAGTAGCAACTATTTTTCATTCAGATTTACGAATTAATCCTGCACCTACTAATAGCTGCAGTTCTTCTGAACATCTAGCCTTTAGTTTTCCTCATCCTAGTCGCGGAGCAATAAAATAACTTCTGTTAGTTGCTTTGTATCATCCACCTGGACCTTACTCTCAATTTTCAGATCTTATCTCAGTCTTTTTACCTGAATCAGTGTTAAATACTGATAAGCTCAATATAGTGGGGGACTTTAACATTCATGTTGACACTGAGGACGATAGCCTAAATGTCACCTTTAATGCTATCTTAGGCTCAATTGGCTTTACTAAGAAAATTCACAGTCCTGCCTCCTCTGGTCATCACCTTAGACCTTGTGCTGACACATGGCAGAGTGTGAAGAAATAACAGCAACTCCCCGTCCCCCTGTGCTGTCTGAACATTTCTGATAACCTCTAATGAAATCTCATTATAGACAATCTTTATCAGATAGATAATGCTGTAAAAATTTTAAAAGAATCTGTTTCATGCCATATTACTTCAGAATCTCAGAGAAACACATCGGAAGGCAGCAATTTAATTTGCTTCATAATGTTACAGTTGGAATGTATGTATTCCATTTGATCGAACTGAAATACATTTTTGCATTGAGAAGATGTTTCTTGTAAACTGCTGCTACAGAATTGAACTAAATTGAAACTGAACTGGTGTTTCAGAGAGGCTCAGATCATTTATGTCTGTCTGATTTGGTTGGACGTGTTGAAACCGTTAGAGTTTGCCTTGTCAGGCAGAGAATCTGAGAACAAGAATCGATGTTTAGGATGCATCTCGTTTCTCATTGAAAGTGTTTCAGAAAGCTGAGACAACAGGTCCTGAAGTAACAGCTTCCGTTGCTCCTGACGCCGTCTGGTCTCAGGGTGATCAGGGTGATTCTCCTTTGATCCCGCCGACTGAACTCCCTACATGGAACCTGTTTAGAACGTCATTGCAGACCTTCACAATATCTTGATAAATCATTGATCTGTGTCTCCTGTCCTCAGAGTTCAGACATGTCTTCTGGCACCTACCTGTGGTCTGAAGATCAGTTCCTGTGCTCCATCTGTCTGGACGTGTTTGTGAATCCGGTCACCACACCATGCGGTCACAACTTCTGCAAAACCTGCATCACTAAAACCTGGAATGGAAGCAGTCTCTACAAGTGTCCTCTGTGCAATGAGCATTTTACCTCCAGGCCTGAGCTGAGGACAAACACTTTGTTCTCTGAGGTGGTTGATCAGTTCAGACTTGAAGCTCACCAACAAGCTGTTCAACCAGGAGAGGTTCCCTGCGACATCTGCACGGGACCCAAACTGAAGGCCCTGAAGTCCTGCCAGGTGTGTCTGCTCTCCTTCTGTCAAACACACCTGGAGCCTCACCTGACCGCTCCACGGCTGAAGAACCATCAGCTGATGGAGCCTGTGAAGAACCTGGAGGACAGGATGTGCATGAAACACGACAGACCTCTGGAGCTGTTCTGTAGGACCGACCGGATGTGTGTCTGCTCGCTTTGTCCCGTCTTGGGTCACAATAATCATGAGCTGGTCCCTCTGAGAGAAGAATCTGAAGGAACAAAGGCGGAGCTGAGGAAGACGGAGATCAAAGTTCAGCAGATGATCCAGAACAGGCTACTGAAGGTCGAGGAGATCAGAGAGTCGGTGAAGATCAGCAAAGTTGCTGCGGACAGGGAGAAAGCGGGAGGCGTTCGGGTCTTCACAGCACTGAAGGAGTCTGCTGAGCGAGGCCTGAAGGAGCTCATCAAGGAGATCGAGGACAAACAGAAAGCTACAGAGAAACAGGCTGAAGACTTCATCAGAGATCTGGAACGGGAGATCTTTGTGCTGATGAAGAGGAGCTCCGAGGTGAAGCAGCTCTCTCAGGCTGAAGACCACCTCCACGTCGTCCAAAGCTTCTCCTCCCTGAAAGCCCCTCCGCCCACCAAGACCTGGATGGATGTCAGAGTTTGTCCACTGCCAATTGACAAGATCATGGCGAGGGCTGTGGCTCAGCTGGAGGAGGAGATGAAGAAGATAATAAAGGAGGCGGAGATGAAGAGGGTCCGGCAGTTTGCGGTGGATGTGACTCTGGATCCTGACACAGCTCATCCTAAGCTCGTCCTGTCCGACGACAGAAAACGAGTGGAAGTGGGTGATGTTTGGAGGAGCCTTCCAGACAACCCAGAGAGATTTTCCAAGTGTGTTTCTGTTTTTGGCCGGCAGAGTTTCTCTTCAGGCAGATTTTACTCTGAGGTTCAGGTTAAAGGGAAGACTAAATGGAGTTTAGGAGTGGCTAGAGAGTCCATCAACAGGAAGAGAATAACTCCACTGAGTCCTCAGAACGGCTTCTGGACCATTATGTTGAGGAATGTAGATGAGTACACAGCTTGTGCTGACTCCCCGGTCCGTCTCCATCTCCAGCCTGGTCCTGAGAAGGTGGGGGTGTTTGTGGATTATGAGGGGGGTCTGGTCTCTTTCTATGACGCATGTGCTGGAGATCTGATCTACTCTTTTACAGGCTGTAGCTTCGCTCAGAAACTCTACCTGTTCTTTGACCCCTGTAACAAAGATGGAGGTAGAAACTCTGCTCCCATGATCATCTGTCCCGTAAAACAGGCCGGTCGTTGATCCGATGAAGCGCCATCCAGAACTTCTTTTATATATTTGTTATTTAGAGCTGATCATAAATATTTAGAGCATTTAAGATCAGAGGGCTGTTTCAAAAAAAGCAGGATTCAGAAATCCAGGATATGAGATAAAGTCAGGCTTGACATAATCATAATGGGATCAGTTCTATTTCACAAAACCCAAACCAGGCTCAGGAGGTGCGACTATGTTGAGCCAGGCTGAAGTAATTCAGGTGAATGTGCCTCTACAGATTTCGTTCAACGGACCATGAGAGCTACCTTTTCCATGTTATATGGAGAAGATAAGTTCCCATTGCAACTAATGCACTGCTGCTTTTGTGAAACCGAATCAAAGCTTCATTCAGTGAGGGTATCCAGAAGCCTGGCTCATTCTGCTATCCTGGTTTTGTGAAGCAGGCCTCCAGTCCGTGGTTCCGCTGGAAAATGTTCTCCAAAAACTAGAAACACAAGTAAACTCATTTAAAGCCAGCAGTGAAATAAGACTGAAAAACACACAAATAATCTTAGATAATGATAACAGATATGCAGTGATACGCTAACGAGACCCAGCTGTTTATAATTCTGGGCCTTTTAGAAGCAGGTTTGGGTCCTGAGTTCTGGACCAGAATCAGAACCAGTACCAGTCACATGTTCCTTCTGCATCACTTTCATGTTCTCTTTCTCTGAGCTGAACTGTTGGTTGGATCATTGAATACAAGTAAAATATACAGACTAATTTTTTTTGTATGTGTTATCTTTACACAAATATATTTGTGTTTCAATATATTTCTTTACTTTGATTGTAACTGGTGTTGTTAAAGTTTGTTTTTATTTGATCAGATCAGATTAATTCTATACTGTACTCTAGAGAAACTAATAATCGTATCAAGGGAGAGACCTGGTTGGTTGGCTGGTAACTAGTAAAATGACAGAACAGAACTATCTGGTCTATGTCTTATTTTGATATGTAAAGTTGCATCATGAGCTAGAAAACTGACCTGTTGGATGTAAAAAAAATAAATAAAATAAAATCATTCATCAAAAAATACACTGAATTATGTTTTTGTTGGAAAAAATATGTCTTCTCATGATTTTTATCTTTTACTTATCTCCTCATATTTACACATATATTTTTCTCAATATATTAATCATCATTTGGCATTTAGTCATTACATTGTTTACTAATTGTTGTTTATGTTCTTATATATCCTACATTTCCAGAGAGTTTAACTGTGGAAAAGTATCATTAATTTACTCATTGTAACATTTTTAAACTTTTGCAGTAATTAGTTCATTTCCTGTTTATCCGTCTTCTAACGTGCTTTTGTAAGGTTGCATCTTCTCTCCATCTTTGCGCAGGCACAGGCAATGAACTGTTTATAAGCACAATCTTTTCTAATGGTTGTTAAATGTTTTGATATGAACTGTATTTTCTCCTTACTGCAAGTAAAACCCAGTGAAACAACAATTGTATCTGCCTGTCATTATTTGTTTTGATTTGTCCCAAATATTAAGTATATGAAGTACTCACACATTTTGTCTTTTTTTTTTCTTATTGGCCTTTTTGTTTTTACAAATCAGTCATGATCAACAAAATGTGGCTTTTTTTAACAAAAAAATAAAAAATAAATACTTTTAAGTAATGTTTTGGTAAAGTTTTGTAAATTTTCACAGCTGTGAATACCAAATGTAATATTTCTAGTGGGAGTAGTGCATCTTATGTTAATGACAAAGACAATTTTAGACAGAATTAGCAATAAAATATTGCACAGGTGAGTATTCCAGAATTAAAACGACCTTGCCAAAAGATTTGGTTATATATTAAACTGACAAAATGTTATAGAAAAGCAATATTCAAGGCAACATTCCTGACAGACTGTTTTACCTCATTCAAAGGAGTTTCTGACTCCTGCTGCTGCCTCCTGCCTCTCCAACACTGAACCATTTGAGGGGGTGGTGGGCGCTGTGTTGTGCCTTCAAAATAAAAGCACACAAGTGCTTTCAAAATCAAATATTTTTAGCAAACGTCTCCAATATTAGTGGGAACCGTTCCCCCAGTTCCTACCTCTATAAACGCTATAATAAAGTCGTATTACGTGAGTAAAGTACGAGAATAAAGCAAGACATAAAAACAAAATAAAAACAAGACAGCGGGTTCTCCTTACATCAACCATAAAATGAGTTTATTTCACTGGAGGTTCAAACGTGTTTCTGTGTTGCCCCAGGATGCATAGAAGATGTCATTGTCACAGAAATTCAGATTCTACTAAAGGAAACCAGTGTTTACAATCTCTATGTTCATTTGCTCAACCGGTTCATTAGACCAGACTCTCACTAATATGCTGCTGTGGGAACGGGGCAAAGCATCTTTAACTGAGAAAAGGAAATTAAGAAACAGAGGCGTTTTAAAAAAATAAAGTCATTTGCTTTTCAACAACGGACCGGTTGTGGTGTTACAATAGAAGAAAGGAGAGTAAGGCTACTGGTATCAGTTAGTTAAATCCTTGTGTGGGCAAAAGAAAACATGATGAATCTAATCTCTGTTATTGTTTGTGCAGTTTACAAGTGTAAATCTGCTCCTGTACCAGAATATAAACTTTGTTCAGTGGCCAGATTATAGTACAAGCTAAAGTGTAGATTGGACTCCAAAGTGGACCAGCATAATGTTCCTTCAGCTAGACTCATCAAGAGAAGAGGAAGTGACCAGCATCTGGTGGTTTCTGACTGGTTCACCAGCGTTTCAGCCCTCTGGCGTCTGAGTGGGAGGAGAATGGAAAACAGGATGGAGAAGGGGGAGCAACATCTTAACATTTCATTTTAGAAAAACAAAAATCAGAAACTAGAAGTCCATTTAAGTCCGTGTGTTCTGCTCCCTCAGAGGGGCTGTGGTTCTTCAGCCACTTTGGGGTGAGGGAAGCAAAGGGTCAGAGGGAATTCAAGGGGGTGTTGGCTGTCTCGTTGTCCCAGCCTCAGTTTAGCCGCTGGACGATAACAGCGTTCAGCAGGTTGGCCTCCTGCAGCGTCTGGCTCTCATCTGCCAACTCCTTGTTGGGGAAGGTCGTCATGAGAACGAACTCTCTGGCAGCCATGGTGGGTCGGGCCAACACCACAAACTGCCGCAGGTCCGAAATCCTGAGGAACACCGGCAGAAACAAGGAAAGCTAACATTAGCTTCGAGAGAAAATGATGCAGAACGCTTTACTATTTTAGTTTATCAGTTAAAGTTACTTTTCCCTTCACAGGCTAACGCGCATGCATTTTCTTCTGTAACATACTTACCGTACAGTCTCATTGTTATTTTTGTGAGTTTTTTTTTGTTTTTTAACCTTTGTTTTATTATGCATGTTCCAACCTGTTGCTATGACAACTGAATTTCCACGTTGAGGAACAATAAAGGATATTTCTGCTGACGTTATTCCCCCAATAAAGACATCTAGTGGAACACAAGATATGTTTGTTCAAACCTTGCCTCTCTGTGAAACGAATTGCCCCGCTTGATTAATCTTCAGTTAACAGTGATTGAGCTCGCATGTTAGACCACTGGTTTCAAATTCACCAAGGCATCATTAAAAGAAAAAGAATAAATAAATAAAAAGATCACTTGAATAATACTTGCCAGCACTAGAATTTGCACCAGTTAGATATTTTGGTTTCTCCAAGAAAACTGGGACTTCTTTCTAATGAGGGTGCGGCGGTGTATTAGCTTAACATTACTCGATCAAATATTTACTTTAAGGAGGCTGAATGAACAATCGCCATCAGAGTAGTTAAACTACATTATGACACCTATTTAAAATACTTGCACTTGTTTGGTTTCTGCAGATGATTGCACCTGAAGGCATCATCCTAAATGGTGTCCTATAATGTCAGACCTGGGACTGGTCAGATCTCATCCATTTAAAAGGAAGAGAGATGAAAGCTGACAATAAGAACACTGATCTGTGATCACATAATGTCCTTATTTATCTGCATTAAGTTGACTATTTCTTATCCTGTTTATTATTATTATATATATATATATATATATATATATATATATATATATATATATATATATATATATATATATTTATTTATTTTTTTTTCTTTAATTCCAAAAGACAAATGAGGTTTAACTAAAAAGTGAATGTTTTTCAAACTCACGCTTAGGTTACAGCTTTTATAACAATCTTAAAGGGGCAGTATTATGTGTTTTCCAGCCACATAATATTTAGTATTTATTGATTATAGCAAATCAAGTAACCATGTTGCCTTCAATTATTATAAAAATCCTTTATATATCAAATTACTTAAAAGAAATTTTACTTGAAATTGGGCCTCTGTCTCTTTAAGAAACTCCTGCTCTTACTGAAACTCCATGTTCATGAAGTCATCAAAACATGGCTCCTCTATTAAACCTTAACGTTTTTACCAGAATTGAACTGAGAAGTAGCTCCTATAATGAGCTCAGCAGGTGCATAATTCCACCAGGTGTTTGCTAATTGCTGCTGGCTAGTCTGAAGGAGCTGAGTGTGGGAGCCACAGGGGAGGGCTACTCTGTGAGGAGGAAGCTTGGAACCTGCAGCTGAGGAAGAGCTTCAACTTGAAGGAAAAAGTAGGTTCAACCAGGTGTTTTGTACAACTGGTTTCCATGATTCCTAAAACATGCATAGAGTGAAGACAACACTCCAGGTATGTTTTTGATGAGGGAGTAACAACCTGTCATAAAGCTCAAAAAGTCAATTTAATGTAATACTGCTCCTTTCACAAAGTTCTGCAGGTTTCTGATTTATAACTATTCCACCTCCAGAAGTCTTGCTACAGAAGTCTATAAACGTTCACCTGTGGGTGTGGTTGAACCTCTGGACCAGCTTGCCACCGTCAGCCAGTCGGATCTGAATGTTAGTAGTAGGTTGGGAGGGGTCAAGGCTGATGGAGGAACTGGCTTGGGCCTCGTTGGCGGCCTGGTCCTGCTGGGAGGTGGGTGGAGCTGAAATCAACTCTGGAGTGGCACTGGAGAAAAAAGAAAGAAGAAAAACCAAAGAGATACAATAATCAGGTTAAATTTATAAAAATTGTTGATATCCAGCCAGTTATACGTCTGGTTAGAAATCTCACCTTCCTAGCTTCTGTCCTTCACCTTCGAAGGCTTTAAAGGCGACCTTGGGCTTAGCAAAGTCCTCGTCTCTGTGGTCCTCCATGTCCAGGTTGACCTGGCCGCCTCGAGCACGCTGCCTCAGCTCCAGAGGAATCTCCCTGCAGGAACATATCAACGTGACTGATGCTGGATCGGATTTATCCACTTAGGACATACGGCCTGTAAAAGTTCTCACCCTCGTCTGATTGCCTCCAGGAAGTTGGCATTCCCTGGATCGTTGTAGGTTCTAAGTTCACCGTTATCCAGGCTGAAGCCCGTCTTCCATAACTTCAGAACCACATGTACCTAACGCAAAACGAAAAAAACCACACCCACATGAGACAATATCACTACACCCTGGGGTTTAATTCTGATGCAGTTGAGGGGGGGGGGGGAAAGCCCATTTATTGTAGGGAAGCAATAACTGCAATTTTCTGGCCGACCTTTAAACACCAACAAAAATGACCACACCAAGAACATTGGCAGTGTTTAAATAGTATTGATGAATAGGATTGAAGGCAATTTCAAAAATGTTTTTTGATGATAAGTTTTGGTGCTCGGATGAGGTTGCATTTTTGGCCATATTGAAATTAATGGATTTTGCAAAACTGCAATGGAAACACTTTATTCACATCACAAGTCACATGATCAACAACCAGATTTTGTTAATGGCAGAAACAACAACGAAGACAACAGGAAGTGATAGGAGGATGGCGTAGTGTGTTTTTAATTTAACTTATTCACCTGTTATTTTAATTGCTTTATTTAATGGAAACACCGCAATTGCAAAATTTTCAAAAATAAGCGGAATAGCAATATCAAGTTTTGTGCACATTTGTGGTGGAAGTGCAGCTACTGAAAACAGATGTTTCCGTCACTCAGTGAGATTTTAAAGTGGTACATTTTCTGTTTTGGATTATTAGTGTTCTCTTTATTGCTAAGAAAACAGCCTCTGTTTGTAAGGCGGCTCCATGTTAGTTTGCATCACAGAGAGTAACCTGGATCTGACTGGCATAATAACACCAAAGTAAACCCAGCAGGAAGTGAAGGGAAGGAGGATCTGCTCTTACGTCTTGCTGACTGTTAGACGCTTGCCTCTCTCCAACTACGTAGGTCGACTCCTCTTCTGGAGCGGCGCCCAGTCTGTAACCTCCACCAACAAAAGCCTAAGAAACGACACAAGGTTGTGAAAACAGAGTCAAAGACAAACAGAAAACAGACGGTAAAAATGTAAGTAAACTGGACCTTTGCTTTGCTGGATTCTCCTAGTCCTTTCCCAGTCCGGTCCAGTGGCACGGCTCCATGTTCTCTGGCCCCTTTGAACAGATCCTCCACGACCTCGTTGGAGCTCTTCTTCTTTGGCGGACCAACGATCTGTTGCCCGCTGCGTTCTGATCCCCCCGCGAAAAACCTGACATGATTGAAACAGTGATAAATCTAAATCTTTGTATTTCACAATAAGATATAAATGATACGATAAATGCCCACCTCTGCAAAGCGAGGGAGCTTTCACTGTAAATTTGTGTTTCACAGAAAACTTTGTTAAAGGTCAAATCATCAGAGAGTCAAATGAATCAAAAGGGAATGATTCAATCATTAGCCTGGCCAGAGCAAACTGCTTCATGGGAAAACATTTTTCTCAAGAGCAAAACATGAGTTTCACTGTAGCAGTACAGTTTCTTTCCGTCTTTTGAATTGAGCGTCACTAACTGTGTTTCCAATGAATATATAATTGTGCATATTAACATTTTGAAAGACAGCAATTTAGAAGAAAAAAAAAAAAAAAACTTTTTTTACACTAAAATGTTTTGGTGCTAGATTGAGGTGATTTTTCTGGCCGTATCAAAATTTACTCATGTTGCAAAACTGCCATGGAAACACTTTTTGTGCATCACACGAGTCACACGATCAACAACTGGTGGAAAAGATGAAAACGACAGAAAAGATGAAAACGACAGAAAAGATGAGGACGACGACAGGAAGTAGTTGCAGGATGATGGAGTCCCATGGTTTTTAATGACTTATTGTGTTAAACTTACAACTTCATGTGTGATTTTAATTGCATTTGTTTATTGGAAACACTGCAATCGCAAAACTGTTAGACATTAGCAGAATATCCACGTTTTGCGCACATTTGGAAGGAAAACGCAGCTAGTGTGGCTGGTGTATTTATTGTAACTTAAAGGGTTAGTTTAAATTGAGATTATCGGAAATCTCGTGGACAAAAGACATTTGTCAGTGTTGACTAAAATGTTTAGGCAACATTAGTGACTAAATATCTTGATCTGCGCCTTCATTTTCTTTGAGCATATTAAAAGTAATAGAAAATAAAACACAGACGGTCTTTGGATTATTCCATAAATGTTAAAGTTCTCATCAGTGCACAGAACCAGAAATCTGTCGAGGCGAAGCCAACTGGTTTGGACTGGCATTCTTTACGCATTTCAAAAGGAAAATAGAAAACTACCATCAGGTGAGCCACTTTTATGTTCATTATTTAAAAAAGTGAATAAGCAGCTAGTCATACCAACTCAGGTCTGAGATACACAATACAAACAGTGCAGAAAATACCAGTAAACAAACACACCCAAAGGACGACTACCTTTTGTTTCCAACAAAAAGTCCGATTGAAGCCATAAAACCACTTCAAGAGTGTAGATTAGTAAATTATTTGATAACTATTTCTGGTCAAAATGTTCGGTTCATGTGCTGATTTAATAAAATCGCCATTAAATCCTCGCTCATCCGTTACAAAGCAGCCCAGCAGATCGCCCTGGCAGAGGAATCTGTTTATGCAGCAGGAACACCATCGGCTCCCAGTGAATGAGGTGGAGGCCCAAACTGGTTTGGTGCTTTCTGGAACCAGCTTCCTAAGGTGTGCCTCTTCCTGTGTCGGCCTCAGTCAGGATGAGGATGCCAGAGAGAGCTGCTATGAATGCAACAGCCATTTATAAGGGAAAGTGCAAATCGCTTTTCCCTTCATTAATCTAGAACTTATTAAAGCTTCTGAAATATCCACGTGTTTATTTTTATATTTAACATTAGCTATGTTCCCATCCGATTGTCATTTGAACATTCAACTAATTTTTAAACAGTTGCAAAAAAAAAAATAAATAAAAAGAAAACAGGCAAATTAAGTGTGTTTCCATCTACTGGTTTGGAGTGCATCAACCAGGCTATGCAAGGCAGGATTTTGTCAGATGTTGATGTTAGGCATGGCATAATAAACAGGAAGCAGACGTTGCAAACAAGCATGGAGCACACATCTCAGAAAAATGGAGAGAGTCTTCCTTTGATAAACTTTAGAAGTTTGAACTGGATGGGAAAGTTCGCTACGTCAAAACTTATCCTGAAAATGTGCTTCCATCTCCTCTTTAGCACATTAACTCTTTTTTGGAAAAGAAAAAAAACCATGTCAAGTGAGTGGAAAAACTTGAAGTTATTTAGAATTTTTCAGTTTCTGTCAACCTTTTCTAAATCAATACATCAAAATGCAAATGAAAAAAAGCATTGAAAGAAACATGGCAGGGTTTCCCCCAGAGTATGTTAAGCCTGGAGGGCCACCAGGTTTTCTGAGGGCAACCCTGCATGACTGGTGCCTAAAAGCTCCAACATGAAGAAGCTATTAAAATATACTCTGAATGACATTTTATTCTTTAATTGCACATTTAAATGTAGAAATAATTCCACTGGAGAAAAAGAAAAAAGCCATTATTAGTCAGTCCACTTACCTCTGACCCTCCTCTTCATCACTTTCATCCTCTGCCTCATGCATCAGATCTCTGAAGGAGGTCACCCTGGGCTGACTACTGTACATAAATGGTATTTTTTATATTGCAAAATTACTAAACAATAATAATAATATTAATACAAGTCTGAGTAGAACAAATGTTGAAGAATGTAAAAAAAAAAAAAAAGATCCCACCTGGGCCCAGTAGATCGAGACACGGAGGAGCCGCCCTCAGGCTGAGGAAGTGTGATAATGTCATCATCGTTTCCATCTTCAAAGAAACTGCCCAGTGCAAGCTGGGGAGGAAACGTGGAGACGGAAATGAGACGCCGGAATGCTGCCAGGCGGCTTTCACTCACCACCTGACTGGTGAACTAGTATCACCCGCCGCAGTGAGACCCATCTGTCCTGGGTCAGGGCGGACGAAGAAAAACTTCACTTCAAACTTTCATTCCATGCTCTCCTGGTTCTTTATGCACAGTGAGCAACAGAAGGCTCTCTATGAGGAATGGGGGTTGAAGTCTAGCCAATATTATGATACCTAACATTAGAAAGCTGAGAAATATATTGATCAATGGATTTCTGAAAACTAATATTAAACAAAGAGTTTGCAGCCTGTGGCTCTTTGGCCCCTCCATCCACAGCTCTTCCAATAAGAAATATTTTTGATTAGAAGACAATAAGAAAAGGATGGTTTATGAGTTATTTTGCAGGTTTTATGCAGTATCCCCATATCTAAAACAGACGGGCACCAACTGTACAAGGCTTTCAAAAGTAAATAGCGCTACACTATGCTACCTGTCTTTCTTTATTTGACATATTCACGGGCAAGGTCTATTCACCTGTCCTCATATGACAAAATAGATGTTTTTTTTGTTTGTTTTTTGTAATTTTTAGAGGAGTCACTTTGATCAAAAATATAAAGATTTTAGTTGATTTTCCTTTGTTTTCTATGAAAGCTGAGAGCGGACATTTACTGCATTTACTTTTCTCAGTGGTTTTCTGAAGATGAGTTAATCTCGTAAAATCAAACCTTGATTTCTCAAAACTAACATGAGGCATTGATGTGTGCATTAACTTCCATTCCTCATATGCATGTGGTTGTACCTGCATTTTAAGGAAATCAACTTAAAAGAAAACTATCAGAAACAAATATATGCAGGAAAACATCTGTTCTTGGCTTCTGTAGCTTTCAAAATAAGACTTAATTTAGTACATATTCAAAAAGACATTTCATGTGGCTCTAGACAAGTTTTTAATTTTGTAGTAATAGAGATAAGGTGGCTTTTTGAAAATGTTGCTGACCCCTGGACTTAATCAAACTGTTAGCTAACGTCCAACACACAAAAAAAGTTGTTTATTTTTGCACGCTGTATATGTCAACAGTGCTGTTGACCACTGTGGGAGGGACAAGTTTATTTTGTCTGTACAGTAAGTAACTCAGAGCTGATCGTTCAGGCCAAATCTTAAAACCAAGTGAGAACAAAGGAACCTTTAGTAGCTGAATGAAACTGAAACTGCCAAGATGGGGCGCCATGTTTTCCCACAGTCACTGTTGTAGGTTTGACAATTAAAAATAAGAAGCAAAAACACAAACATGTTGATTTCTTTAAAGTAACGTTTCAAATAACTAAATCAGCAGCGGTAGTTGGTCTTGGTTTTTATAACTCAACTGCTTGCACTAAAATGCTGTCAGGTCTCTTATTATTCACTGAAGAGTTTTTGACAGTTATTACATTTAGTTATTGATGTCAAAGAAATTCTCACTGAACTAAGCCAACACAGTTTAACAATGCCTCGAGAGAAAAAAAACGTTAAATCTGTTATCCAATGTCAGCTTTTGTGCTCACATGACTCTGGCATGTTGACAAGTTTCCTTTTTTATCTACGGAGTCGCTTTTAAACAGAAACTCGAGATTATTTAGTTTCTCTAAAGGACCTCCTTTATTTAGGTGTCTTATTAATATGTCTGTAACCATAAACACAATGTTATATTTGAATTCGATTGTTGACTCTGCTTTCTTTTCAGATTACAGGCTAGCAGCTTTACCCTTACTGCGTCAACTAAATTTAATCCAACCTAACAGGGGGCTAACGCTGGCTAGCACGGCTCATTGGATCCACGGCACACCGGATAAAACTTGATAGAAAGAAGCCCGCATACAGACGAGTACAACTGTTCATGTAGCCGTGGATGTAACCGCTATTTGGCTGTCCGACAACGTCTCTGTTGGTGTCTGAAATCACTCGGGTCGGTATTGTCCAGGGGTGACTTGCACAAATGACTGGCGACACAGGCTAACGTTAGCCGGTAAGCTACTCATCAAACACACCGTTTAACCGCAGTTTGCTTCTGACAGAGTGCGGTCCTACTCGATACAGCCGTAGGAAAACCCGCTGAAAATCTCTACCTGCAGGTTCCAACCGGCGGACTCCAGGAAAAAGCGGGCCCTCTCCTCCTCCACGCCGGTAACAGCGACGAACTCCCTCACTGACTCCTCTTGACTCGCCATTTTGATTTGCTCCTTCAACGAGCCGTCCGCTTCCACCTGAGGAAACAAGCAACAGTTGTTCGTTCCTGTCTGATTTCAAAGTAGAAACAATGACGAAGAAATATGACTGAACCATAATTAAATTAATAAACCTGAAAATATACAGAATTTTAAAAAGTTTTTTTTTTTCATTAAAACACGCTCAAATCACTTATTTTCTAAGGTTCATGCATATCATGCATACTTGCTTACTGAAGCAAGCATTGATAAAACCACAAGGGGGCAGTCTAAGCACACATTAGAAAGGCCAACCTAACTTTGACATTAGTTCAGATATTCAAAACTAAACATCCATGTTGAAAATACAGAATGGTTAAAACTTATTTGTATTAAAAAATATATTTTTAGCACACCTCCAAAAATATTTTCTTACCAATGATATTCTTCTTGGTTAGGTAAATTCAAGGTTTCTGGAGAAGTTATATGGGATAGTCAAACCTCAAAATCAGGAGGAAGTGGGTTTCATCCTGGCTGTGGAACACTGGAACATTTTAAGCCTTTAAAGATTTTAACCGGTGGTGCCACTAAAAACAGGCAGCACAGTTACAATGAAATTTACCCAAGACTGTCCAACCAGTCTGCATGTGTTTTGTGCCCATAACCTGCAATATGTTTCATTGTGTTATTCAGGTAGTCCTGGGCATACTTTGGGAGTATAGGGCACACCTTGATACAGGCTGTTAGGTCCCTACATCCAGTGTCAAAGCTTAATTCACATTGCTAACAGTAAGACTTGTTTACACTAAGAGTACACCTTAGCCAGGTGTACTCTACCAATTCAGTTTATAAACTTCATGGACAGAGTTTCTAGGCAGAACCAAGATGCTGAGGAGATCCGCTTTGGTGGCCTAAAGATTGGGTCTCCGGTTTTGCAGATGACGTAGTTCTGTTGGCTTCGTCAGATCATGATCTCCAGCTTGCACTGGGAGCGGTTTGCAACCGAGTGTGAAGCGGCCAGGATGAAAATCATCACCCTCAAATCCAAGACGACTGTTTTGAGCCAGAAAAGAATAGAGTGTCCTCTCCGGCAAGGTCTTGCTCCAAGTGGAAGAATTTAAGTATCTCAGGGTCTTGTTCAAGAATGGCATAACAATGGAGTGGGAGATCGATAGGTGGAGTTGTGCTGCTTCTGTTGGTTACGTTCCGGTCTGTTGTAGTGAAGAGAGACCCTCATTTCCTGGTGTACATTCCTACTTACCCTCATCCATGGTCAAGAGCTTTGGGTAGTGACCAAAAGAAAGAGATTGCGGATGCAAGTGGCTGAAATGAGTCTCCTCTGTAGAGTGTTTGGGCTCTCCCTGAGAGGCAATATGAGGAGCTTGGTTATCCAGGAGGGATTCAGAATAGAGCAGCTACTTCTCTAGGTTGAGAGGAGGCTGTTGAGGTGGCTCAGTTGTCTAGTTAGGATGGACACCTCCCTGGTGAGGTATTCTGGGTATGATCCACCAGGAGACCCAGAAGAATACCCAGGATATCTTCATGATGTGTTTTGTTTTAGTCTACTTGTTTTGCTTGTATCACCCAATTCATTTATTTTTTTCATGCTTTGGTATGATGCTGTAAATCCAAACATAGTTATCTGTCCCTCATCACGTTATTCAGAGACTGTCTCCAGTTAACAGATGCTGACTGAGAGTGAGGCCCCTCATCTGTTCCAAAAACTGTTCCAGCAAACACGACGCTCTGATTTTACTAAGATAAGCAGATGGTGAGCGTATTCCCACAAGAGTTACACCTTTGCACCTCCCGATAAGGTGACTGCAGACGGGGTGGTCACATGTCATAGAGCAGTAACGGAGACAGATTGAGAGCATCTTAATTGTTTCAGGAGGGGAAAAGACTAGGTGGAAATTTAGTGCAACCTGCTGTTGGTTGTTTGATCTCCAATACTAATTAATCTTGTTGGCATTTCACCTTTTGTAGCACCACTCTCTGTCTCTTAGCACATGCCAACACAAAGCGAGATAAAAGATGAACAGTGAAGATGGGTAAGGCTTAAACAGCAGGGATTATGTTTTATGTTCCCTCTGGGTAATTTTTTCCCCTCTTTCTTTAAGGTTTGAACAAACAGACAAAAACAAGAAAGAGATGAGAAAGACTCAGCAAAAAGAATTCAGATAGAGGAGAAGGTAATGTACCACAAACAATGTCACACCTTCTGGCCTGGAACAGACTTATTAAGGTTTAAGTAACACCGCATACACAGTTATGAGTCAAAGAAAATCCACATGACAGGTTGAAATCAGGGAGTCGTTCCTCAGGTAAGCCCTGCAGGCATGTGAGGCTGGATGCTAATGTTTGCCTTCGCATGAAACCTGAAGCTGGAGTTGCAGTGTAATATTACGACAAGTGTCCTGTTCCAGAGGCTTAGAGGTGGAGAGCTGGACTCAGTTTGAAGAGACACGAAATGACATAAGTGACAAGAAATGACAAAGATACAAAAAAACGGACTTTGTCTTCTATCAAAACGACATTTAAACTAGATTATGAAAATGAGATGAAAAGCTGTCATTCACATGTCTAAGAGGTCCAGTGATGTTTTACTTGGCTGTGGGCATAAATGACAAAAATCCTTTTTATAACAACAAAAAAAAAAAGTTAACTGACAATGTTTAAAGGGGCAGTATTATGTAAAATGTACTTTTTTGAGCTTTACATCATGTTATCATGGTATTCCCTCATCAAAAACATACTTGGAGTGTTGCTTTAATTGCTTCATGCTTGTTTAAGAAATCCTTTAATCTCCTATGGAAACTATTCAGCTGTGTAAAACGCATAGGTGGACCCAACCCCGCCTTCAAGATGAAGCTCCTCCTCAGAGCTGCTCGGACAAATGCGAGAAAATTCTATATGTTTTGTATATGTAGCATTTCTATAACAACTGACTGTAACATATTGTTACTTGATTGTACTATAAAATGGCACTATGTGCCCGGAAAATAGATAATACCTTTAAAAGATGCGTAATTTATATTGCAGAAAAGACATCTACATGAAGACAGCCTTGATATACAAATGTAGTTTGAAAAAAAGATTAAATGTCATGTCACACACAAAATAAGACTTTTAACAACTTTGTTAGGAATGATAATAAACTAAGTCCAATTTCTTTTCTGCCTGTCCTGGGTTATGCGGTCTGATGACTAACTGACCTGAGACGCGTTAAATGAGTTAAAAAGATGAATCTGGTGCAATTATGTGTGTACAAGCTTTACAAATTTGCAGATTGATACAAAATTGCTTCTGAGTTTATTTCCTTGCTCTGGCAGATTCTGCTGCTTCTGTTCTTTTCCAATGCCTTAAAAATGAAACTTATTTTTTTTTTACAAGTAAAAACCTGAAAGCTTTGATGTCATGTATGAGACAAGTCAACATGTTGAAGAATGTTCTGACTGAACCCAAACTGAACTTTTTGATGTATAGAGCAAAACACCATGTGTGGCAGAAAAGCAATGTTCACAGATGTTTTCCATCCAATGTGACTGAGCTTGAGCTTGGGCAAAAGAAATCAGACTTTGTGTGTAAATCTGAGAGATGTACTTCAAACGATGCAGAGGTAAATCTGGAAACTAGACATTCCATTTTGTTACACTTCCAATTGTTATGCACCACTTGGTATCTCTCTGTCACACACACACACACGCACACACAAACAATAAAATACATCAAGTTTAATCTTGCAATCAGACATAATTAGAAAATATTTAATAGATAAGAACACATTTGCCAGATAGAATACAATACATGCACCCTGTATCATTATACTTTGGGTAAATTCAGGTGTAACAGCAGCAAAGTGAAAGGACATAGAACCATGTAGATTCACACAAATATTAAAAATCATTAAAATATAATAAACACACACAATCCATCACGATGAAGAACAATATACTGTACATTAAGGGCATCATAACAGCATAAAAAAAGTGAAGTTACTAAAAATAGCAGATTTTCATCCAAATAAATGTATAGCTGAGTAGGATCATTTTAAAAAACACGGACATGTGTACTTGTGCATTAAAAATACAGACTACTTACAATGTATGGAAATACAAGAGTGGAAACAGACATGCAAATACCAGCAGAAATGTTATTTGAGATGGGCAGAACTGTGCAAATCTCAGCACGGATGTTATTTTAACTGTAAGTACTGCTGAAAATCTCCATGAAAATTATTTTCAGCATTTGAAGCTAAACATTGTAGCCTTAATGACAAAATATTCCACAAGCTATTCAAAAAGAACAACTTATGGTATTCCTGTACCCTATATAAAAAAACCTAAAGGATAACCAGAGTCAAGGAAAAAAAAAACACAACATCTGGTATAAAAATGCTTGAGAAAGAAGAGACCGTAACAAAAAGGAACCTGAGAAACCGGAGAAATCCACTTCAGTGAGATAAATCCCAGATTGAGCACTGAAGTGACGTGAGAACTGCGTAGGAAAGCAGTGGCCACGCTGCCGACGAGGATCCGGTTTCAGGTCTTTCTTTAATTACTCAATCGAATTTAGCTCTGGACTTTGACTATGCCATCAAACCACATGCTTTGTCAGATTTTTATTTGTCAAACCGAAATTTTTAACAATGCATAACAGTTGCATAATAGCGCAAAACAGTTTACGCTATTTTGCACTGCTTCTGCGTTACTCTGGTAGAAAATCCCATTAAAAATACCCAGACTTTGTTTCTGGAATCACTACAGACATCCGTAACCACATTCCAAAAGATAAGTGATGAAACATACAATCACACTTTTTTATCTTTAAATCTTATAAGCTGCATTCTGTAGGGCTGTTTCAATCACCTTCTTATGTTTTGTAACGAGACCCCGGATAAGCCCCTGTACAATAATACTTACTCTGGTTGTGTCAATGTCATCGTTGACAGTGGCTTACTTTAAAGAATGTAGGAGTGTACTGACAGTATGACTTCAGTGTTTCCCCTGGGAGACATTTTTAGACGGTTTGACAGACACCATCATGCAAATCCAGGTAAAAATGCTCCAATA